GCAAGCAGCAGACGAGCAGAAGCTGTTTCAAGACACGCGGCTGCGCGTGGGAGACAGCGTGGAGGTTTTGTGGGTGCTGCACGAGGACGCAGCCGACTGCAGCAACCCCCAGCAGCAGCAGCAGCAGCAGCAGCAGCAGCAGCAGGTGTGGTGGCCCGCGGAAATCCGAAGGGCCCCACATAATAGAAAAGACCGCGAAGGCCGCCTCGAGCTGCTGCTGCACTATTTGCCCTTCAGGGGCCTCCCAGCAGAAGACGCCAGAGTGGTATTTGAGGGGCCCCACACCCTCAGGCACTTGGGGGCCCCACGCCAGCAGCAGCAGCAGCAGCAGCAGCAGCAGCAAGAGCAGCAGCAGCAGCAGCAGCAAGGAGATAAAGAGCCCTCTCTGGATGAAGAGGTTGCTGAGGCGCCCCGGCTCCGCTGCAGAAGGAAGGGCTCTGTTACCCCACCTAGTAAGCTGCTGCTGCTGCTGCTGCATTACCTGCTGCTGCTGCTGCTTCTGTTAAAACTGCTCCAGCTGCATTGGCTGCTGCTGCTGCGTACCTGCTGCTGTTACTGCCCGTGTTTTACCTGCTGCATCTATCTCAGCGGCCGCTGCTATTGCAGCACCTGCTGATGCTGGTGTAGGTGTTGCTGCTGCTGCTGCATTATCTGCTGCATTAGCTGCTGCTGCTGCTGCTGCTGCTGCTTGTAGGCTCGGACTCTGAGGGCTGTTTGTCTGAATGCGGCGAAGACGTAAATGTCTCTGTAGCAGAAATCCTCAGCGAGCAGGCGAGGCTTGATAGAGAACAGGCAAGGCTGCTGCTTCTACTGCTGCTGCTGCTTCTGTTGCTGCTGCTGCTTCTGTTGCTGCTGCCGTTGCTAGCGTTGCTGCTGTAGCTTCTGCTATCGCTGCTTCTGTTGCTAGCGCATCCGCTATTTCGACTGGTGCTGCTGTTGGGACTACTGCTGCTTCTGTTGCTGCTGCTGCTGCTGCTGCTGCTGCTGCTTGTTGGTGCTGCTGCTGATAGTGTCGGTTTCCTGCTGCTGGTACTTGGTCTCGCATTTCACGCAGCAGTCACCGTAGCACAAGCAGCAGCAGCCGCTGTAGCAGCTGCAGCCACTGCTGCAGCAGCAGTCACTGCGGCAGCAGCAGC